TAAAAAACATTAATATAAAATGGCATATTAATATGGCATTTACATGTTATTTAATAGCAATCATTAAATAATTGAATACTTGTTGTTTAATATAGCTTTATAAGTTATTTAATAGTAATCAGTAAATAATAGAATATATAGCATTGTTTAACATTAATTAATCACATTATTTAACTTTTAGTATTAAATAATACATATAATAGTGTAAAATAATATCTTCAAAACTTCCTGATGTAATCGATCATAATTACATAGTTTATTTTTTGACAGAGTTATCAGTATCCACCCTTATTGTCAGATCTTGGTAATCGATGTAGTTTATTTATTGACAGATAAATAGAAGTTCAATCATAACCTTTTCTACTTTCGTTTGCTTTCTTTGTATAACAAAATACCAACAAAAGGTGAGCATGAGAAAACATAAAAACGTTGGTCAATAACCAAAGAAAGTGCGTACATATGAATTTTTAAACAAATTTATAGTAGCGTTCTTGTCATTAACATATTACATTTATTTTTTAGAGTTTACGCATTTTTCATTACATACTGTATCTTTAAAACATCTGATAATAGCCTAGCACTAGGGGTACAAATAATTTTGCATATTAGTACTTGTTAAGATTCTATAATAGCATTTGTTTCTTATTAACATGTCAAGTGTTTTGTATTCTATGCATTTTTTTTAGGCTTTACACAGTTTGTCTTTACATATTTTCAAACTATCTAGTAACGACTCATAAAAAAAGTGTATGTTAAAACAAAGATGATAAAGAAAAGCAACTATAGATGTACTTTGAAAATTTATAATAGCAATATGTTTCTTATTAACATGTTACGTGTTTTAGATTCTACGCATATCTTTGAAACCTACAATCTTAATTTACGGTAAAATTCTCATTTTAGATATTTTGGTTTGAGTTTAATTTTAGATATTTTGTTTTGAGTTTTATTGCTTAATTTAAGTTTTTTTTTCTTATAGATATCTGAAACTCAAAATTCTTATAATGATTTTGATGAATATATGAATTACATACTGTCGTTACATTTTGAAAATAATTCTGGCTTTGCTTCATTATCTATTGAGTGTGGTACTAATACCTTGCCTGTATTCGGAAATGGTTATAAAGGTGTAAGTGGAAGAGAAAGAAATGACTTTGAAAATGATAACTTGCCTGTATTTGAAACTGCTTATAAAGGTATAAGCAAAGACAATATATTTGAATATAATGATTTTGAAAATGAGGCTAAATATGATGATTTCGAAAATGAGGTTGAATATGATGATTTCAAAATAAAGTTGAATATGATGATTTCGAAAATAAGGTTGTAACTGGAAAAATTAAAAACAACAAATTTGAAGATAATGATTCTGAAGACACTACTTTATCTAAATTTAAAAAAATATATAAAGGTGTGGTGTAAGTAGAGACAAAAGTAGTGATATTGAAAATGAGAATGCAACTAAAAATGTTGAAAATAATATTTCTGAAAGTGGTGATTCTGAAGATGAGTCAGAGGATAGCCCACTAAAAGAATTATATACTGAGCAGACTTTCACTTCTTTTAAATTGCTTGAAAAATGTTTAAAACACTATTTAACTTGGATGGGGTTTGAAACAAAAATTGTATGAGTTAAAAATGAAAATAATATTTGTGTTCAAAAAACATATAAATGCCAACATGGTAGTAAATATTTACCAAAAAAAATAGTAGATCCTACAAAAAATAGAGAATGAGAATCAGCATGTATTGATTGTGAATTTGTACTAAATGCTTCATATCGAAAACACCAAAATCTTGTCTTTGTCAACAAATTTAATGAAAAGCATAATCATAAATTAAGTAATAGTGAATCATTTCAAAAATTTTTACCATCTTTCGAAAAATACCAGCACATATAAAGGATGAGATTCAGTTTTATGTTCAAGAATGTCATTTAGGAGTAAACGTTTTGAGGCAAATACTTCGAAACAAGTTTCCTAAACAAGAAATATATAATAGAGATCTCTATAACATGATAAGCAAATTTAAAGCTAAAGTACAAAACAAAAATGATGCATTAACTTTGTATAAATACTTAACAAAATTAAAAGATGAAAATCCTGACTGGTATTTTAACATTGACTTTGAGGGTATAGACAATAGGTTTTCTAGAATTTTTTGAATATCTCCCAAACAAAAAAGTCTATGGGCCCGGTTCTATGATGTTGTTATTAACGATAATACCTGCAAAACAAACAAATATTTGATGCCTCTGAGTGTTTTTGTTATAATTGATTCAAACCAATGAAGCCGCATTGTAGCTACAGCTGTAGTTTTTGACGAAACTGTATCAACCTATGAATAGATATTGGAACAAACAAAATTAGCAACTGGCAATATTCAACCAAAAGCGATTTTTTACTGACACAGATCCTGCAATGCAAGTGGCTATATCTACTCAATATCCTGATACTATAGTTTGGCACTGTGCATTTTATATTCACCAAAATTTAGTCAAAAAAATTAAGAAAAAGCTCAATGATAAATGGGATGAGTTCATTTCTAATTTTTATACACTTCAAAATTCTCTTGTAATATCTGACTTTGATCATCGTTGGATGGAGCTAATGAACAAATACCTAGAAGTTCAAGTATATTGCAATCGAGTATTATATCCAACTAAGAAATATTAGGCTCATGCATTCACAAAATGAAATTTTTCAGCAAATACACATTCAACACAATGTGTTGAAAGTATGAATCGGGTTATTAAATTAGAGGCAAACTTGGAAAATTCCTTATGTCAGCTACAAGCTGGAATTAAACTGCGGTTAAAAGATGAAGCAAAGTATGCAAGATTGCAAGAATTTCAGAATATGAATCCAACAGCAGGTCTTTCTAATATTACTAGTACAATCTTTAAAAGTATTGATGATATGTGTAAAAAGTATCTTATACAAAATTCATTAGCACTGCAATGAAAGCAAATGTTAGAAAGCCTTTTATATAGAACCTCATTATATTCCAATGAACTTAATAATAATATGAATAAAGAACTGAATTATGATATAGATTTTATAGAAGATGACTATGAAGAGCCACAAGTATTATTAAATATGGCTTTAGAGGATTGTAGTGGAAGTAAAGTAAATGAAATTTGGGAGGTCAAGCATATTCAAAGCATAACAAATCATTTACAGTTTGTAGTATTGCTTGATGATGGAACACATTATTGCACATATCTTTATTTGATATATTCTGAATTCATTTGTCAACATTTTTTTGCAGTAATGATTCAGTCGAAGAAAGCATACTTTAATATAAAGTTACTACCATCTCGATGATACTCTGGGGAAGGTCTTTTAACATTTGATGCAAGTTAAGAGTTATCTATTCAAATAGTTAAAAATAATGATAAACTACTTCAAACAGGAATATTCCAAGTACTAGAAAAAATCTGAGGACAAGAAGTTAATAATCAAGATGCTGTAAAATTGGATTCAAAAAAAGCTGCTTATAGTCGTGGTCTTGGACTTTGTAAAAAAGCTTTAGATGTAGCAATTATAAATAGTTCAAATAGGAGTTTAGAAGGTCTTTTGCAACGATTTATTGATGAACAAGTTTCAAATCAAAAAAACACACAAGAACTATCTGAACAAGAATTTATGATTTCAAATCCTCTTCAACATAAGGGTAAGGGCCGCTCTTCAAATAAGAGATGTTTGTTAGCTATTGAAAATCACGACACCAAGAATGTTTGTTCAAATAATTAAGATAAAACATTAGCATCAAGATCAATGAAAAAAACAAGCAGCAATGTGCTATATGTAGATCATGGTACTATGATTCTCGAAATTGTTTATTGAAAAAATAATTTCACAGGATTAGATACAAAAATAAAGTAGTAGTAAAACATTTATATTGAAATTTTTATAAAGCTATACATGTTGTTTTCAAAATCATTTGTGTTTTTTGTATTTAGAGCTGTGCAATTCTTTTATATTGTATCAACTTCATTGCTTTTGCATATAAATTTATGTTGAATCTAGAAATTGAAATTGAATCAAATTTTATATTTGACCTAAAGTATAGATAAGAAATTTGATTCAAACTAAAGTTATATGAAATTCTTGCATTTAATGCTTTTAAATTTTTTTTAGAGTTAGGTGAGCGCTAGTTTAGATTAGTCAAAGCTTTTATATATACTATTTGAACTATATACATATGTGCATATGTATATTCATCTATATGTATATATATACATATGTTTATACATACATGTGTATATTCATATACTGTTAAAGCTTCCAAAACCAATATGCATATGTAATACATATACAGGTTTTGTATCAGCATTGAAATGTTATTGGATTTGAAAACATAAACTATTAGATTTATGTAACAGAAACAGACTTGGTAGACTAACAGGTTATCAATTGATTTTGGAAGAGTCAACAGTATATGCGATATGCTGATTTTGATAATGCTTAAAGTATACTTATTTAAATAGGTTTTCAAAATCAACTATGTCAAGTTACCCAAAAAGCTTTATATAATAGCTAAAATATTAATATTAGTAGTAGGTGCAATTTAAATCAATATATCTTTTGTTAGTGTGTAAAAGTAGTTAAAATTTCAGTCTACTATTAGCTTTTTTGCAAAATTTGTATAATAGTATATTAAATACTATATATTACTATATAATTTATATATATATATTTTGAAATTTGATTGGCTAATTTGGGTAGGTTATTAATAGCCCCGGTATAAATTATATTCATTCTAAATTATAATATGCTATATAACCTATATTAAACTTTTAATTAAATATATAATTACTTTATAGGTGATAAAATTGTTAGTGCAAGTCAAATGCATATGCGTTATCTACTACAAATTTTTCAAAGCGAAGTAGACAAATAAAAAATATTTTAATTGTTCAATTACAATTGATGAGACTACTGATACTTGTGAACACAGTGTTGTCAATGTTTTATTTAGCTTTCATGATCAAACTAAATTGGTTAAAACCGAATATCTAGATACATCAGCAAATTATATAAACGTAATCTTACGTAAGATATTACGGCCCGTAATATTGCGCAAGAATTACGGTC